TGATGTATCGTCGCCCATCATTTCTAGAGGCAAACACATGAATGTTTTGTCTCGTGGAACGGTAACTACGCTGCAGCATGTGCTGTGGCAATTTTCGTTATTGTTTGGGTTTTAAGCGAGCACAATGTGAGCACGTGAATCATGTCTCTCCCCCTGATCTAAGCTTCTGTCATAATAAAGTCATCTTCTTTTTTCTCGTCTTCATCCAAAACCCACATCTATTCCACCTGGATTTTTTTAAGCATGGGGAGCTATAAAGGCAGAGAGCCCAGTACAGATGCACTGGGAGGTACTGGGCATTGAGACTGCTGACTCCTGCCAGAATTACTGCTGAGTCTGGCCCCGTGTTCAGATAAACACTATCAAATGATACAATTGAGCTGTTTGAGTAAAACAGTGCTGCTTTTGCCTAAATCGTTCCAGCACAGATTGTGTAGTTCAAGTGTCAGCGCCTTGGGAAAAGGTAGGAGGTTTTTGAACAAACTATTGTAAAGAAAATAAAAAAAATAAATAAGAAACCCCGTTAATTTCCAACCATGAAATCAAGCCCCCTCCAGCTACAAGTCTAGGTCTGTCCCATAAATCATTAGCATAACTTGTTTTTCTGACTCCAAGCGTTTATGTAAGAATAAAATTATCATATTTTGTTTCTAATAGAGATGAAGCGAGAGGTGGATAAAAAGCAGATTTGTCTTGCAAAGACCTAAGGTTAATCTGGCTGAGCTAAAAGGAATACAAAACACTAAGGCCGTGAACTCAAGTAATACTGTTTGTGTTCTCTAGAACAAAATAAGAAATCGTGCAGCGCACTTCAACATCAAGTGAAAAGATGGCACTCTGCCACTTTTACATGAAATCGGAGTAAAAAATAGCAGCGTATAAAGAAATCATTTCGCTGCACCAGCACAGACCTTGGGCCCCAACAAGCAGTGTGTGACATGTTTCCCACAAAAAACACATACACAACACAATAAATAAACAAAAGGTCAGCTCTAGCATGATGAGCTTCACTGCATAAGAACATACTTAAAATATGGTCATTTCAGCAATGAAAAACACAAAATGAGTGGATTAAAAAACATTATGTAAACAAGCTTTAAATGTGCTGCCAAAACCATCATGCAGAGTCATGAACCTCCTTTGGCCTTCTTCACAGCAGGAACTCAACAACCTATAGCATGACACTTTCAATAACCTCAAGTTTTAAGAATTTGTAAAGCCTTGGCTCTGCTTTGTGTTTCACCGTGTCTATTAAATCTCGACATATTAGATATGCTTCGCTGAAAAAGGCAACATTGGATATACTGATGAAAAAGGGAAGAGACGTGCATTTGTTGGACAGACAGCGATAGAGAAATGCTGACACTGATTTTCTTTCACTTTTATGTAAATTTTAGATGAGAAATTTTAAGTTAACAAAGACAAAGACTTTCAAAAGAGGATGGAAAACATCAGAAGCTGATTTTGAGTAAATTAAAGGATCTACTTGTGAGCGCTACAGGTCTGTGGGGGAAAAAATGGGCATCTCCAGTGCCAACGACAAAATGTGTCAATCACAATGCAAACATCGCCAGGTTACTCCGACAAGTGGTAGTAGGAGTGAAACGCTGCTGAGTTTGTTGTTGACTCACTGTTGTTATTGTTTGTTGACGAATTGGCTTGACTAATTATAACTAACTTGCACCCCCTGACAGTATCTGGAACTTGGATTTAGTATCTCCCCCTGAGTACAGCTAAATTTTTGTTCTGGGAATGCAGAGAGCTGTGTAAATGAAACCAGAACCTGTGACAGTGGGTTAAAGCAGTACTTTTACATGAAATATACTTAAAGCTGGGGTAGGCGGTTTTATTTTTGGCATCCTTGGGCAAAAATCCCAAAATAAACTTTGATTCAGAGGTCTGGGAGAACATTTCTTCTTCTGTAACTCTGCTTGGCTCTGTTTTCAGGCTTTAGAAAATCTAGCCCATGACCGGAGCTTTTAGCAAATCACATGTCATTTTCAGAGAGAGCAGCTGTCAATCATGTCAGTCACTGCTGGTAAACTGCGGTCAAACTGTTAAACTAGGCAGCGCTGATCAAATATCAGTCAAGAGTTTGTTACTGCATTACCTTTGTCTTGCCTAAGTGTTCTCAGAAATGTGTTTTAGTGTACTGTTTAGCTGTAAAATGAGAGTTTGTGACCTGGCCACCATGTTGAATACAGTCAAGCCGAAACATAGGACCGCCCACCTGCCAGAGCAAACTTTCTCATTTCATAGCTAAACAGTACACTCAGATATGAGCATTCAGCAATGAATTAGCAGAATGTTGAATTAGATCTGGTTAGCATTGCCTAGTTTAGCAGTTTGACAGCGCTTCATGACCACTGACTGACATGACTGACAGCTGCGTTAGAGGCTCTTTCGCTCTGATTAGTTGTTTTTGTGATTATGTAAATGCCATTAGGAGCACTATGAGGAGGCAGAGGGGGCTGATTTTTTCACAGATTATCTGCCTCATGTACTTCTGTCAGGATATAATGACAGTAATTAAAAGATAACTTTTATGTCACATTTGCTAAATAAATTTACCCACCAGAGATGCGCCTATTTATCAGCTGAACATCAGTATCGGCCAATATTCTCCTTGTTGACTGCCATCAGCTGGCAAATAAGATAACATTCACCACTGCCAGTGGCTGATGTTTTTCTGTTGTGCCACATCAGGCTAAAAAGCAGGGATTGAAACAGCCAAAAACTTTAATTAATGAGCAGGTACAAGAGGAGTGCAATGACTGTTTGGCAAATAGGTTCTGTGATCTCAATGCTGTGTGAGGAGACAGTGAGTAGCAGCCGGCTGGGACTAACAGCTCACAGAGATTGCACTGAGGTACATTATGATGCGTTTAAGATCTATTCAGTAAAAATAAGTATTGGGCAATGGTAAAGTATAATGTACTAGTGTTGCACAGTGTACTGGTACCAATGGTAGACCGTGGTACTAAAACAGCACGGTACATATGATACCATAATGTTGGAGTACAGTAGCACCACAGTACCTCACGGTACCACTACTGTGGGATAAGTTCAAAGTCCAATCGCAAGAGGATGAGTGTCCATGCGCCGTCCATTAATGGCGCGCGCTGGCCACCTGGCACTCAATATGCTGCTGCGTGGTTTGTTTTCCAGTGACATTTCAGGTATTAGCTGAGCTACTGAGTATCTTTAAGCAGTGGAAGTTACTATTCATTTCTTTTTACTTGTAGGTTAGATTTGTTTATATATGCTACAGTGATTTCTTTTCCACAGAGCTCTACGGTGCGAGCATTTTACTCGCATTTAATCTAAAAACATTTTTGTGCGAGCAAAAGAAATCATTCAGGAGCACGCTGTGCAAGTACAGATTTCAACCAGCAGCAGAAACGAAAGGCGAATCCTGCCGGTTGTGGGTTGAACGGGGGTCACAGACAGGAATACGGCGGAGCACTATGGCCACGCGAGATAACGGTTTACCAGTGACGGAGAAGCCCGGCTCCAGGTCCAATAATTTCCTCTTTCGTTGGTGTCATGGCTGCCCATAAGTACCTGAACAGCCGAGCCGTGGCGGCATACAGGTATGTGACGTGTCAGAGGAGAAACGAGCCGTTCACATTTCTCTCTTTGCGGCAGGTAACAGTCCACAAACCTTACCGCACATAAGAGACTGTTAGAGAGGAATTACAATACATAATATAAAGAGTAAAAGCTATTGAAGCAGTTACTTTTTTCATGTGAAAGGTTATATTAAAAGTCGTTTCCTAAATCTGAATGATTAAATGTTTGCTCATATATGGGTAGGATAATGAAAGACTTAATTACTTTGAAATATTTTTAATTTTAATAGTATAGATTTCTTTGTTTCCCTAGCACAAAACGGGGAATAAATGACAACAAAAACAAAGTAAACAACAATGTAAAAACATCGGCATCAGCCCAGAATTTCAAAATCGGTGCCTCCCTATTACTAACTATAACTTTTAGCACTTTTTTGCCAAGAATTACAGTAGGTGAGAAGATTGATACCACTCAATGTGTAAATATGAACCTACCACTAGCAGCCAATTAGCTTAGCCTAGCAATAAAGACTAGGAAAGGCTGACTCAGTGCCAAGGTAAAAAAAACAAAAACAAACACCTACCAACACCTCTGTCTCCTCGTTTCCAGTCTTTATGCTAAGCTAATCAACTGCTAGCTGTTGCTTCATATTCAACAGCCAGATGGGAAGGTAACCAATAAATATACTTCTGAAAATGTTTCACAATTCCTTCAAGTTGCGTGATGTTCCTGCTGTGAAAAAGGACTATTTATGTGTTAACCCCTTCTTGATTAAACCTCCAAGGCAGCAGCTACACCAGCACAGGCACCAAGCCATGCAGAGGATTTGACATTTGTAAGGCAACTGGCCAGATCTGAAACCTATGTTAGTATAGTCACACCTCCCTGGGTAGCATTACCGGAGAGCAGAGGGTCTTTGCACAATGTAAATATGTAGGAAATGTGACGTGTTAATATTTCATAGAGCTCATGTGATACAGGCATGTGGTCATGACAGCACACATCCTCTGAATCCTCCAAGCGGCGTTGCTGAGTATAAAGATGAGTTGAGGTCTGTGCACCTGACAACACCATGGGTTGTGTTCACACGGCTCGTTCTGGCAGCGTTAGCCTGCTTGTTTTTGCACAGTAGTAATCTATAATCAATCTCCCATCTACCCTTGAATGTGTCCACCTGCAGCTAGAGTCTCTCCCTCATTATGGCCACCCGCAGTGTGAATACAAATGCCAGCCCTTCCTCCGGTCCAACCAGCCATTACCACCAATCTTTACTCAAAGATTGTCCCAGGTGTGATGCTCCATTAGCTGTTTGTGTTTCTGTTGTGACAATGTGCATGTGTGTGTGTGTGTTTCCAGAGCCTGTGGTGACTGTGGTAGTGCTGCACCATCTCCTATGTCTAATAGCATCTTTGACCCCAGCTTGAAACCTTGCAACCTTGTTAGCCCTGTTTGCCCCCAGCAGCAGCAGCAGGCACGGTGGCACTCACGCTGGCAGTGACCCCAGGAACGGCGTGTCCATCCCCAGCAGCAGTCCACTCTGGCCCCGTATCGACACAGGCCGTTGGATGAGGCCATCTGCCGCGGCCACCTGTGAGGGGATGACATAATTAGTTCACAGCCAATTAAAATGTCTGAATGAAAAGCAGGGGTCTTTTCAATGTTGTTTGGAGGGAAGCTTCAAAGCGTTCACATGATTCATTTCATTTTCCTGCTGCAGAGAGAAAAGGCTGGTGTCAAGTTTTTCTTTTGTATGAATAAAAGACACTTCCATTCTTTTGACCTGTTTAAGGATTTCTCTGGGGAGTTTTCATTGTCTGAAATGAGAGTCTAAGGATAGAAGGTGTCATGTTGTACAGATTAAAAAGCCCTTTGAGGCAAATTTGTAATTTTGGGTTAAATATAAATAAACTTAAATGAACGGACTTGAACCGACCAATTTGGGTCGATGTTTTTAAGTATATAAAAGTTCTGCATTAGCACTGAAGGGCCCAAACTGTCACATGTGCTTTGCTTAAAGGAACCGTGTGTAGGATTTAGTGGCATCCAGCGGTGAGGATTGCAAATTGCAAGCGTGAAACAAAGTTGAACTCCTAGTTGGGATTTCTTTAGTGTTCAATGTTCAGGAGGTTTTTACTTGGAGCCAAATTATCTGCAGAGGTCTCTTCCTCTCCAAAACACATGGACCAGGGCTCTCATTTGTAAAATAGTGCGCAGGAACCATACTAAAACTGCACGTACAGACAAAAACCAAAAATTGCATGTGCCAACATTTTTTTTTAACAATTTCTACAATTAGGCTTCCACCTCACCATCTGCGTCGCCAATTTCGATTTCGTAATCATGGGCCATCAAGTCTGCTTTTATAGATCTCAACTTTTGCATGGGAAGTGGCGTACGCCTCTTTTAGGCCTCATTTTGTACGTACGCAATGTTTATAACTGTGACCCCAGGTGATAGATACAGGTTAAAAAAATTGAACAAAGCAGTTTCACATTACAAATCAGTGTTTCTCCAACACTGCTTTCCCTATACCTCCTAATGTATGCATACCTTTTTCCTCTGATAACTTAATGTATGCCCGTCTTCTTCTCTGATAACTTAAGATCCAGAAGGTTCATGAGGTTTTCACCAGGAGGCAGCTTAGCCACAGAGGTCTCCTCCTCCTCAGACCCAGTAATTTTAATGGGTAAAAACACTGAATAAAGCAGTTTCACATTGAGAAAAAAAACAGCACTTTTCCAATAGTCTTGCCATGGAGGGGCTGAAAACTACGATGGCTGATGGCAAAGGCGAACCTAGAACCAGAGTTTGGTTTGTCTGTTCTGGGCTGCTATAGAAACATGGCAGTGCAATGTGGGGAACTCCATGGATGAGGACCCACTCCCGATATGTAGATTTAAATGTCTCATTCTAGGAAAACACAACCATTCTTCTCATCAGGTGATTATACACTTAAGAAAACATACTTCTTACATTAAATTTAATTTCTGCCTATATACTGTATATCTCCCTAAATTCTACAACCTAAAACTTAAAATAAACTTAAAATTGTGTTCCAGGATGACGTCTTTCGGCCCTCCATTTTTTTTTTTATCTGACAATCAGTCCAAAACGCAAAGATATTCTGTTTCCTGTTATATAAGAGAAAGAACAGCAGTAAAAAGTCACATTTCAGAAGCTGGAGCCAAGAAACATTTGACATTTTTCCTTGAAAATCGAATCAAATATTACTACATTTTCTCAAAGGCTGAGTTTTCACCGCCTCCCTATAGCAGATTATCTTTGCGTCACGGAAATAAAACTGATTGCACATCAGATCGTGTTGGTTTGCACGATGTCAAGCTGGAGACCCGTGTTGAAAGCCTGCCAGACCTGATTTAAATTTTGCCTTCAGTGTGCATCAATGCTCTCACCATTAACATCCGAGAAGACGACATTACTGTTGTACTGATTATAAAGGAAACAGATTAGAAGCTACGTGCGCTGCCTGGTGCCCTTGAATATACTGTATGTTTCCTATCGCCATCTATTACATGAACACATGTCGACAGTATGTGTCACTGTGCCGTGTGCTGAGAGACTCCACAAGACAATTTTCATGACAGTGGAAGATAAGATCATCCCTGCTACAGCGAGAACATGCAGGTATTAGTGTTTATAGAGATATAGGTTATTTCCAAAGCACTGCAATTCCTCTAAGAGAAATTACAGCCGGATGTTTTTGTTACACCATGTTCTATTCTGCTCAGAGCGAGAAATAGCTTCTTGGCAGACAGTGCATGTGGATTACCTTTTTATCTGTACCAAGGCTCACCACATATTTATGGAGAGAATAGGGTGAAGGAGTGAGTCCATTTAAGGATACTGATGAAAATCCAAGCTGCATACTTTGAGAGGCTGGCTCTTAGATGTTAAAATCTAGTGAATAATAAATAAATAAGAAGCAAGGATATAACAAGCTGGGTGAGTTTTTATACTCTACAATAAGAAAACTATATATCTCCTGAAAAAAATCAAGACTGCTCTGTCATTATCAACATTACGATGATCTGAGCTGACTATGCAGGTAAGTAGTTGTACAAAGGAAACACTGTAATCTGGCTGCAAAACAAAGGAGGAATTTTATTTGATGTACTACCTTCTAACAAAAGACGCTTTCTTCCGTGCCTCGGTGAGAGAGTGAGGTTGTTGCTCGGTATTCAAGGCACATCCTTTGCCACTATCCCTGCCTGTTAGTGTCTCTATGCCAAGATGAGGAAATGCTAATGCTTGCCCCCGCTGCCAATCACCTCGCTGGAAAAAAACCCAATGGATGCTAAGTGAGAGTGGCAGATCCAGGGAAAATGTTTGTCTGCTGCCTGGAAAGCAGGGAAGCAGTCAGGCAGGGAAAAGCTCCAAGCACACAGTAAGAGAAGGGAAGAGAGGAGAGGAGAGGAAACAAAGGAAAGAAAAAGGAAAAGAAACAAAAGGAAATGTAAGCAAATAAAAGAGACTGAAATAAAACAAAAGAAGAGGAGAGCAGGGGAAATGAAAAAGGAAATGAAAGACAATGAAAGGAAGCGAATAAAAGAAAACAAAAAAAGGAAATTAAAGACAAGGAAAAGGAAGGAGCAGAAAAGAGAGGGAAGGAAAAAGAAAAGGAAACAAAAGAGAAGCGAAAGAAAGGGACAGGTCTGGACAGCAGCCAGGTTTATATGCCACTATCTCTGCAAATGACATGCACCCACCCACACACCCCCACACACACAAATATGGCACCTGCTGTCCCTCCGTACTGTAAACTTGTTAATAAAACAAGGCGATTGCCGCCTGTGGCAAAAATTCCCCTCTGAATTTGCAGGATGGTGACACTTTTAAAAACCACCCGACAACTTCCCTTGACATTTCAGTGATATTTAAAAGTGGTGATTCCACCCCGATGTTCTTGTACACGTTCTTCTTCTTGAATTTATTCATCAGTGTGCATATGGTAATTATCATCTTAGAATATGGGGGCATGATGTGGGAAGAGTTTATGCTGCTATGGGTGCACCTGCTCCTGCATAACCCAGTGATCTCATATCCCACTGCAGTTATATGACATTACAAAGTCATCATTGCACCTGATGACTCCCGGTGGAAACCTGCTTTTGCCAGGTACATCATTACATTTAACAGTTTACAGAGGAGTGTGTGGGTTAAAAAGACATTTTGAATTCCAGAGCTCCATTGAAATGTCAAAAAAAAAAGAAAAAAAAAAGTCATAAGTCCATGTTTTGTTTTGTTTTTTGTACACACTAGAGGGCCGTAAACCTGCACAAATAAGACAAAGAGAAACCGTGCAATTCTCAGATTACCTGCAAAAGGTAAAATGCATCCCCAACTGTACTGTCAGGAAAATAGCTCCTCAGAGCTCCTGTTATTTTTGCAGGTAATTAAACTTGGTAATATTCATACATTTGGTGCAGAAATGGCCACTTTCTATGGAAAACTGTTCTATTCACAAAGATCAGTGCTAACAGCCACATGAAGTTACAGTGACATTATTAGCGTCTTCAGACAGTTGCTGGTAACTGAAGTCCATTTATTAGCGGATTCACATGCAGGCTTTCCAATGATCATTGAATGCTTCTGCACCTTGTTGCTCAGGACTGCAGACTGTATAATTAACACGAACAACATTACAGCTACCTCAAAAGCTCAAAACATTTCCATTGCCCCTTGGTGGCTGGCATGTTAGCAAATGGGAAATGGGCCAAACTAAAAAAATCAAGGCACATGTCAAATTTTTCCCAAAGATGATCTCTGCCATTTTAGGTAGTTCTTATCACACTGAGATATATTCAAGTTTGGTTTAAATTAATCATTTGATGCTGCTAAAAAGGGGGGTTGACGTTGGACTGACAGCATTTGGTGTGCTCACAATCAACAGTGCTGCTTGCAATTGGTCGGACAGGTGTAAGGATGGGATCTCAATACCACGGAGATCACTGCTGCGCAGACTCTGCCATATCCTGGATATTTTGGCTTCATTTTTGTACGGTTCGAGGAAGTGTAGACATGTCGTCCATCTTTATGTACAGTCAGTGTGTGGAACCTGCAGCCCATCTTTGTGCTGTAATGGCCTCGACTGAAATCTCTTTTTGAATACCAGAAACTCTGCCATAGCACCAGTCTAGTTTCTTGATCTCTCCGTCAAATTGATTCTTTGATTTGAATTTGAATTGATTCAACAAATCAGCAAATTGTGTGACTCTGGCTTGTTATTCTGCCAGCTCTTCCAGCCACTTTGGAAGTCTTTATGTTTCCACGAGCTGCTTTGAAAATCACATCTGACGGCGTTGATTGCCAGATGTTGTTTAGAGAGCTGATACAGTCTAACAACTAATTAGCTTCAACTTCATATCACCGGCCAACTTAGTCATCTTGTGTGACTTTGGTACTTGAAAGATATGTGATGGAAATGTCCTCAATTGGTATTCCCGTTATTTTGTCCGTCACTTAAGAGCCAAAAACTAACTGGCTCCTACTGTTCAAAATGTGAATATTCACTGGTTCTCTTGGTCCTCTGTGTGTTTCAATTCTATTTGATAGGATAAAAACCGTTGA